TCCCCTCCCGGCGCCCAGACGCGAGCCCGCTGCCCGCCACCCCCTCCCTGGGGCCGCCAAAGCCGGGTCCGGGGCAGACAAAGGGCGCCCGGCCGGGGAGGCTGCCCCGCCTCCGCTCCTACCTGGGAAGGCGCGGCTCGGCGGGAGCCGCAGCAGCAGCAGCAGCAGCAGCAGCGGCAGCAGCAGCGCGGCCCGGAGTGCGGGGCTCCCCATGTTGCGCACGGCGCTCGCTCGGCCACGCTCGGCTCCGCTCGGCTGCGCTGCGCTGCGCGCCTTCAGGGGGCGGAGGAGACAGACGGGGCCGAGGGGCTGCGCGGCGAGCGGGCCAAGCCGAGCTGGAAAACTCCTCCTCTCGCCGCTATCCCTCCCTCCTTCTCGCCTGGGGCCTCCTTCCTCCGCCTCCCCGGGACGCTGGCGCGGTCCGGGGCCCCGACCCAGCCCCGCCTTTGGTGCCGGCGCTTCTTCTGGAAGCGAGGCTGCACCCCACCCCCCCAGGGCCAGAGAGCGCCAGGCGCGTGCGCTGGCACATCGGATGACCCCGAATATCTTCCTGTTCTCCCATTCCGCTCAGCCCGAATACACACACTGGTGCCCAACCGCCCCCCAGATCCCGGGCCCCCACGCTGTCATCTGTGCGGAGAGCCGCGTGAGCCATTCTGTGTGAAGGGACAACCGATCGGGTCCACAGTGGCCCCTGCGGCCGGGCTACTAACGGCCACGTTCGTTGATCTGACCCTCACGACCACGTCTCAAGTTCGGTACTATGATGCCCATTTTACCCAAGAAGACACCAGTGCTTGGAAACGTGCCCAGTTCACCGTTCCGGGCAGAGAGGGGATTTGAAGTTAGGTGTGCGGTTCTGCCGGCACCAACGTCCATACTGCAGCTTTTTTGTTTCTCTTCTGTAAGGGAATGAATCAAGGGCTGGACGGGGTGCCTGCTGAACTGCGGTTTGGAATGGGGCTTGAGGTTCTCTTTCCAGGGTGTTTGATGGACAAAGCATAAGGCACAGAAAGTTCCCTGTCTCACTCCCAGTCTTGGGAATGCAGCTTTCGTAGTTTCCTGCAACCCGATTTCCCCATTTCCTGGGTGGTTCTCGACCACCTCCGAGGACACCAGGACCAGCCCGAAGCCTCCATCCTGTGGCCTGGCATCAGGATAGGGTTTCTAGGCTGCCTGCAGGACGGCTCTGGTTTCTTCGAGCCTTTCCCAAATGGTGTTGTTTTGTTGTGAACCCACAAGGCAGCACCTGGCTCCTTTCCTGCCCCAAAGAGGTCTTAGCTAAGGCAAATTGCGATCAGGGCTGCTGCGTCAGGTTGTGCACTGTGCAAAGGGACCTGGAGGAAGAGGCAAGTCGGAGGGGAAATCCAGCCACCTCTGGGTCAGGGAGCCCTGTGCCTTGGCAGGGGCCACATACATCGTGGAAGGGCAACTTTCCCCTTGCCACTAGTCTGATCCACTAGCTAGGCTAAGGGCCCTGGGTACATCCATCCAGAAGGTTTTCGAATTCTTTCATCCCAATTCTCACAAAAGCCCCTGACTTGAACTTCCATCTTATCCTCTCGAGGGCTGGGGGTGGGGTGCTTTTCTCCATCTCCTGTGAGATTCTCCACAGCTGCTCCCTCCTCAAGGGGCCAACAACCCTTCAATAGCCCCCCCAGTCACAAGAAAATGAAGGAGAGCGGCCTCATCTATGGCCTCTGTCAGAACCGACTCGCCTCCGCCTCTGAGTGGTTCTCAATCCTGTCCAACCACAAAGGGCGGGGCGAGGGGTGGGCATTTCATGAAAACACCTTATCAGGGCTGGACCCCAGACCAATGAGACTACAATCTTTAGGGAGGTGGCCTGGAGTTTGACCAGATGCCTAGTTTTGTTCCCACATGTTCAGTGGGGCAGGTTTTAGAATGGGCTAAATTCTGGGCCAGCGTTTCTCAACCTAGGCACTATGGACATGTGGGGCCTGACACTGCTTTGTCGGGGACAGTGGCTGCCCGAGCACTGAGGGATGGTTAGCATCCTGGGACTCTGTGCACCAGACGCCAATAAAACACCTCATTTTCCAAGTCAGGACAATGAAAAACCGCCAGACGTCGTCACATGTCCCCTAGGGGAAAGTCTGCCCCCAGTTGTGAACAACTGTTCTAGGCTCATGAACAGAGGTGAATGTGCACCCCAAATTCCAGGTCCAGGTTAGCCTGCCCAGTGGCCTTCCTTTACTGTGTCACCTCTGAAGCAAGCTCTCCTCACAAAAACCAGCCTAAGTTCTATTACTGGGCCGAGAAGGAACCCCTGGCGCTCTCCTAGCACCTGACTCTGGCTGAATTATAACAAATACCACTCTCCGTGTCAAGGCTTTTTCTCTTTGTGTGTATAATGCTAAGTGAAATAAGCCAGTCAGAGAAAGACAAATACCATATGATTTCTCTCATATGGGGAATTTAAGAAACAAAACAAAGGAACAAAGAAAAAAAGAGACAAACCAAAAAACAGACTCTGAACTCTAGAGAACAAACCCACGGCTACGCGAGGGGACAAGGGTGGGGGGGGATGGGGGAAACAGGTGATGGGGATTAAAGAGTGTACTTGTAAGAGAAGAGAGCACTGAGTAACGTATGGAAGTGTTGAATCACTACATTGTACACCTGAAACTAATATAACACTGTACATTAACGATACTGGAATTAAAATAAAAATAAAAATAAAATACCAAGTTTTATGGTAAAAAAAGTTTTTTCTTTGCTGCCTTAAAGCAAACTCCAATCGGATTTTATTATTTAGTCATAATGTTATTACAATTATAATCATAATAGTAATACACTACTACTAATGATAATACTATTATTATTTTTTAAAGTAGGCTCCACACCCAATGTGGGGCTTGAACCCACGACCCGGAGATCAAGATTTGCACACTCTACCGACTGAGCCAGGGGCAGCATCACTATTACCATTATTCCAGGTCTCTGACAGAAGGGATGAGGGTGGAGGAGGGAAAGGGGTTATCAGTCCATCCCACAATATCTCGGTAGACAATAGGACGGTTACGCAGATGAGTAAATCCGTCAAACAACTGAACCCAGAAGATGGGGTAATGAGTTGATGGAAACAGGAAGGGAAGTCGCTCAGGGAGTGCCACAGAGCTTTGATCTCATTCCTGTCCTGCCTCACATAACAATGACTGAATTGAAAGAAAAGACATTGTTGGTGTGAGACACCAAGACAGGCAGGCAAGAAGCAGGTTCCAAACATCTCTAGGGGCAGGAACGCGGCGTGGACGCTGAACAGTGAATAAGGATAAGTACGGCATCCTACATTAGATCTCAAAAGCCAAGCACACGGATACAGAGGAGGGGAAAATGGCTTCACGGGAACACCCGCGAGAACGCAGTCTAGTTGCTTCCAAACTAAGATTGCCCGGGCCCCCCAGGGCCATGCTGATAGTGCCTGGTCGGTCCGCCGAAGCATTCCTGAGTGCTGGCCAAGGTGCCCGAGGAGAGCGAGGAGAACACGGACATCGAAGCCTGGCGGCGGCGCGGAGCTGTCTTTCCACCCTGTGCAGGGGTGAGGCGCTGGGCTTCGCCACCACAGGCTTCTCCCGAGTCAGAGCAGAGCGACCCACGGTGGAGAAGGAAGGGGATACCCAGGATTCGCCCCCACTTTCTGCCTTGGGTTTGTCAACTGACGCCAGTGAAGGAGAACCTGCCGGCCCCCTCCCCCCCCTCCTGCAGGACACAGATGTCCTGGGGACGGCCGTCAAGGCCCTTCCCTGCCTGTGCCGCTGCCATTTCCCCGACACCTCCTCGTCCTTCTAGGCTTTCAAACCAGTTCTTCTCTTTCCACCTCCTTTCAGAGTAAAGGGCCTGCAGTTTGAGGGGAAGGTTGGTGGCCCACTGTACCTCAGGAAATGGACTGGCATTTCCCAATGTCGAGGAGCCACTCCGAAGTGAAGCGGCCTGTGTGAGTGCTTCGCAGACCATCTGTAGTAAAGGACTATTATTTTAAGATGTCCAATCTAAAAAATAAAAAAAATAAAACAAAATTTCCAGGGGCACCTGGGTGGCTCAGTCGGTTAAGCGTCTGCCTTC